ACTTACTACTTTTATAAACTAGGGTTGAATCTGCTGCCAGAATAAAGGAATCCAGGTCATCTGTGCCAGCTCAAACCATATCCTTTCTCTCCTGTCCCACAGCCTGCTTTATTTCTTACAAGGAAAATCATACACAAGACCATAGAAAGATTCCCTTCTTAAGATGACTGCTAGTGAGTGACCTAATGGATTCTTTTTATTAATAAAATGCGATAGAGTTGTTTCACATAACCTTTCAGTCTTCAATGCTGCAGTTAGGGTCTCTATTAATAGAACTGTCAGAAATGTGTACTCATGCCTGAACTGACACCAGGTACAGAAAGTTGAGTGAGTGAATTTAGTGCTGACATAACTGACATCGTGAACAAAGCCTACCTTTTATTCCTGAAAGAGAAATACCATCCACAACAGTGTCACTTCCCATCAGCACGCCTGAATTCCAATCTGGGTGACTGTCTCTTAGCATAATAAGTTTACAAAATGCACTTGCATATGATAGCCTTCTATGTTTAAATGGAGAGGTTGTTTTTTAAGATTTAACAAACCTGAACTGAAGCAATACAAAATACATTGTGGAATTAGAGTCTATCTACAAAGGAGAAAGACTTTCATGGAGACCATCTTTGTCTAAGAACACAATTTATGAGATGAATTTCAGTAATAGTAGCATACACTATGGGATGTCTTGTACCATCCTAGTTTAATCATCGAAGAGGGCACAGATTTAATCAGAACTGCAAGAATATCTGGGAATAGCACTCTGATTAATTGTACTAGCACAGTAATGAAACTCTCAGACTATACTAGGCCTTCCAAATTGCAGCATGGGAAATGACTTTAGCAATGCCAGCTAAAATCATCACTCTTATAGTTCTGTTTGCTTCACTGCAAGCCAAGTTTGGTGTTCACAAAAAAAAACAAAAAACAACACAACAAAATCTCTTGTAGTAGAATAGAGAGTTGTTTTTCTAAAGGATTTTAACATTTTGGCAAATCAATACAGGATAAATCCCTTTGCAGTAACTTCTTTCTGCAATGGAGCAGGGAGTTTCCTACTTTCTGCCACTGGTAATAATGGTTCACCCAATTAGCCAGAAATTGCACTTCCATGAGAACTAAAATGTAAACTTTGAGAATCCAACAGGAATGCTCAAAGCTTATGGCAGAGGAGCAGTCCAGCTCATCCCTTTTACTTTAGACCCTCACACACCTGCTTATAACAATATATTTTTCACAGTCAACACATGAATATACAAACAATTTGTATTTTTGCCAGTCCTTCCCTGGCCATCTACTTAAGTTCTTTGGAATAAACTATCTTAATTTCCAGCTCTTTCTCTCAGCAGTGCCTGTCCTCAGACTTGCAGTCATCTTCCAAAAACTCATTTTCTGAAGGCTTTTTTCTGGAGATCCAAAATCAAGACTACATGTTTCAGGGTGAAGTAAGCACAGGAGAGCCCCTTTACCTCACAAACAACAGGTTTGACTTAGGTATTTTATACCTCTTTCTCTTTCTTGGGCACATCTTCAGCACAGCTCCCTCTCACACAAGCATCCCCATCACATCCACAGATGAAAATCTCCAACCTTTTCAAGCAACCCTACATGACCAGCTTTCATCCAGCAGCCACTAACTCTTTTTTAGCCTGCACTTTACAGCTGACCTTTTAATCCTGCAGTTTATAGCTGTTCTTTTTAGCCCCTCCTCAAAAACTCCTATGTTTTACCAGGTTGGGGGAGATAGCTGCAGTGTGAGGGCAAGCAGGGCTTTGGAGGAGGGACAAAATCACAGAATCCTAGGGGTTGGAAGAGACCTGGAAAGATCCCCCAGCCCAACCCCCCTGCCAGAGCAGGGGCACCCAGAGCACATCACACAGGAACGTGGCCAGGGGGGTTGGAATGTCTCCAGAGAAGGAGACTCCACAGCCTCTCTGGGCAGCCTGGCCCAGGGCTCTGGCACTCTCACAGCAAAGAAGTTCTTCCTGAGATTCCCATGGAACCTCCTGTGCTCCAGTTTGCACCCACTGCCCCTTGTCCTGTCACTGGACATCACTGCACAAAGCCTGGCTCTGTCCTCCTGACACTGCCCTGAACAGATTTGTGCCCATGGATGAGGTGGCCCC